TCTAAGTATATCCCATGCAGATAAAGGGGAACTAGAAGACGCACGCAAGGGGAAGAAAGAAAAGCCCACCACCCAGTCAACCAGCCTCTACGCTTTTTTATTTTCTTTCTAAGACTTAAGTAGAATAATAAAACAAGAAACTTAATATATCTTATATATATAAGGGTACATAACTATTGTCCAGCCCGGCTTTCATCCTTGCAAAATACTTGGAACCATTCCATGTACCTTTGAGTGGTTTGTGGTTTTTTCGTTACCACTACTAGAAAATTGAACAGAATACTCATAGAACTGGGGCCTAGCCCTGGCCTTGTGGTAGAGGGACTCACTCCAACAAATACGGTTATTGATGGGCTCCCAAGCAATCTTCCCATTAAATTGGAGTTTGTTACCCAGTGTTGCATAGCTCAGGTTGGATTGGTAGTCATTGATGTATTGTTCGTGTTGCCCTCGGTGCAGAAGGCTCTGGTGTAGGTCGTTGCGTCGTGTCACGAGACGGACGCGCTGACTGAGAGCGGGGTCGTCCTAAAGGACGTTGTGGCTCGTCGACTGGATTACCTAACGCGGTAGGTGGGTTATTCTGTCGCCAAAGGTGGTAAGTGGGGGTTTTTGACGAGGTCGTCCGTCAACGACAAGAATCTCTTGACCGCGCTGTTTAAGGATGGGCGGTCTATAGGCCAGTCCGCTGGAATTTGCGCTATTACTAGGTATATCTCTTGCTGCTGGGCAACCACGTAACGTATTCTTGTTAAGGTGTCTGTGTCAAATTGGTCGTGTCCGACGTATCGAGCTGCTCGAAATATTTTGAACTATAGAGCAAGCTACAGAGCGTCGGCGGGGATATCAGATATAGGAGTAGGACGCAGAGCAGAAGATAGGGTATAAGAAGAAGTCAAGTTGTCGTCGACGGAGTCAAGGTGTCGATAGACAAGATGGCTGAACGACACAACCAGGCAGAGGTTGTCGCAGACAAAAGAGAGGAAGAAACTGCACGACAACAGACACCGTCGTCTGGTTGGTATAGCGGAAGCAACGTCCTGGCGTTCCCGGGGCGTTAGAAAGAAGAAGACATGCTACCACCCAGCCCCCTTCTAGAACCTAAAGGTTAGCTGGAAATAAGTACGTAACTAAGGTTATAAGTAAATAAGTTAACTTGCCGAAACATGCATATAAAGGATTTCTGATTACAGAGCTGAAGAATACAGTGGTTGATTGCTTGGGTGTAACCATCGAGACGGTTAAAGCTCTTAAAGTCTTGTCAAAGTCTGCCGCTACACCAAAAAGGAGTGAGCCCACACTACTGGTAGGCAGAGCTGAAGTTTGACAAGTCTTTACTCTTAGTCGACTAAGTTAACTAAATTAGTAACCATGACTAGTTAACTGGGTGGTTAATTATCTGGGGACTTGTTTGAGAAGAATCGACATACCTGAAATGATAGAACTAAGTCATCGTTTAGTTTTGTTAAGTTCCACATTCCCTTATAGGTAGAGATTGGCTTTCCATCTTGTATTAATAAAGCCTTCCTTGCAGATGAGTCAATGATGACCCCACCAGCATTAAAACATGCCCGGTGGCCATCCAGTTCCCCGATGGGTAATCGCTACAGTCTATACGTGAAGCGACTTGTATTGAGAATGATGTACAGAGTCCCGTGCCATTTTTCCAAAGAGGAGCTAGTTCTGCTACTCCGGTATTTTGTAGGATCTCCCTGTGAGGCTCGGTGAGCAGTAGGCGCTGCAATACTAGTTATCTGGTGACGTGGGTTTGAATATAATGAGAACGTATATGTATATTGGATTAAGAACTAATCGCTAACCTTTTAGAAAGAGGTTAGGATTGAAAAGATGTATATACAAATAGAAGCTTAGTAATCACTGGCATGACTTGTAGTTACGGCATGACACTCCCTTACCCTCGCCTTATCCATTAGATATTTCTCCCGTGACAAACTCACCGAGTTCAACTTCGAGCTTACGGAGAATAAACCCCAGCATTGTCAGTGACGTGTAGTATAAGGTTACCTAGGCTTCTTCATAGAGTTTGGACTCCATTAGGGAGATTCTGGCTTTGGGATTGGATTAGGCAATAATCGCATATAAAGATCTTGACTTGGAGGTTGAATTGGGGGTAACATGTGTTTTTTTAACCTGGACTACCAGATTAGGCCACCAGATTAGGCTAGCAATTAATAAATTTAAGATTGGTTGTTGGTGTGTTTTTTCTGGCGTTTGGTCAACGTGCTTAATTTTTCAATGAGAGGTATTATTCACTCATTCTATTCTATGCCTATCTATCGCCCTTTTCTGTACTCATATAGTCGCTGAGGCATTGTTTTGCTATCACGTTCCTTCGAGATTTCTTAGCCTCCCTTTGAAAAGTACCTAGTTAACTAGTTAGCAGGTGCAAGTGCCGCGGCCTTCTCCTTCTCGGCTCGTGCTTTAGCTAGCCTCTCCTCCTTGAGCTTGAGCAAATCAGTCAAGTTCCACGGCGAGTCCATGATATCAAAGAAGATTTCAACGACCTGGATGACGTCTGTCTTAAGGAAAGTCTCATTGTTCAAGATGACGCCGAGCTCCTTGTAAGTGCGCGCAGTGTAGCTTCTGCTGTCCTTGGCGCCGAAGAAGCCGAGCATCTTCTGGTAATCCCACATCTCAGAGATGTCGTTATACTGCTGCTCGGGGCCGTGGATGAGCCGTTCAATGGTGTAGCCCTTGTTGTTGACTACGAAGATGATGGGTTTGAAGCCCTCGCGGACCATGGTGCCGATCTCCTGGACGGTCATATGTAGACTGCCATCGCCGACAAGGAGGATGACACGGCCTGGGCTGGAGGTCTCGCGACGGGCGAGGAGGACACCCAAAGTGGCAGGGACTGAGAAGCCGATGCAACTGTAGTAGAGTTGGGAGAAGTATGTGGTGTTGTCGGGAAGTGTGAGGCCCTGGGAGCCGAACTGTGAGGTTCCAACTTCGGCAATGACAAAGTCGTTGGGGCGTAGGAACTTGGAGAGGCGGTCCCAGAAGCGAGCGTGGTCAAGGGGATCAGTACAGTTGTCATCAGATGGTTTCTATGGAAGATGTTAAGATAATGGTCACTGCTAAAGGGTGACTGACGCAGACATACCTCTGAGGTCTTGGGGAGTATCTTGGCAAGGTCTACTTTCCGTTGGATAGGTTCTTTAGCGAGTCTGGCGAGGAGCTTTGTAATAACAGGTCTAAAGTCAAGACCCTTCCAGACCTTTCCTCCCACTGAGCAGAATCCAGGGTGTAGTTCAATGAGCTTATCGGCGGGGAGCTGTGTGCTGAATCCACCCGTGTTTCCACTAACGTTAAACGGACCTAGGTGCAGGACAGCATCATGGGACTCTATCTGGCCCTTGAGGGCAGGGTTACTCGAGGTGATACCGCAATATAGACCGGCGTAGTGAGGATCGGACTCGTTGACAGTAGATTTACCTAGTGGCGTCGTATACCACTATCATATGTTAGAATCACTATTCAGTAAGAAGAACAGGCAGAGAGGGTAGGCTTACGGGAGCAGCTAGCAGCTTGATAAGCTCACTTGTTTCCTTGTACAGGTTATGCCTGGACATCAACATGTCAACCAAGACACCGGGATCCTTGGCTTGACCCATACGCTTGACGACTTCCTCGACAACCTCATCCTCCTCCGCCTCTCTGCCCTCATTCCTCACAGTAAGGTCAAGGGGTTTCTCCAACGGGGCGGCATCAATCGGACTATCTTGAATATCCAATGGCACGAACAGGTAGACGGGCAGCCTCCTCTTAATAGCTGTTTCAATCACACGGTCCACCTCGGCAGCAACCTTACTCTCGTCATCCAGGAAGGCAGTAGCGGCAGCTACAGGCTCAACCATCTTCTGATACGTTCGGTGGTCCCACTGGTCCATCCACAAGGTATGATGGATACGCGTGTGGTTGCGCTGCATGTCTCTCGACGTGTTTCCCACGATATGGATGACTGGTATGTATTCACTGTATGCGCCCACTATGCCGTTCAGGGCACTCAACTCTCCAACTCCGTATGTAGTGACGACAACGCCGGGCAGGGAACGAGCACGGGCGTATCCATCCGCCGCGTAGGCAGCGTTGAGCTCATTGCAGGTGCCAACCCAGCGCAAATCCGGCACGCTGTAGACATGGTCGAGCAGGTTCAGGTTGAAGTCACCAGGTACTCCAACGATATTGCGAATGCCGAGCTGGTGTAGACGGCGAAAGATGTACTCGCCAACAGGGATCGTAGACATGGTCACTTCTGTATAGTTGTCTGGTTCCCTGTGTTTCTGACGGTCGTGATGCTAAATGGAGGTGCTGGGAGAATGAGCGTGGGGCCGGGTCTGGATCTGCGGCAGAGAGTAAGCGAGGGATGTCTGATATCAAGGGAAGATCGAGATCGAGAAATAGGCTCTTCTCTATATATGTACCTGTAGGGATGCTTCTTCCCCTCCACGCTCGGCTTTTCGCTCCTGCTGGTTCTTTTTGCCCCGCAAAAAACGCCCTTCGACTTCCATGCTTCGGCCCGACGGAAGCTTAGATAAGCAAGGGTAAACGCCGGGCGCCCTTGCCCTAGCCCTAACCCTGCGCCTTTCCAAAAGGGGACACCCTCCTTAGTATCAGGGGAGCTCTGGAGACAGTTGGAGACAACAAGCAGCAACAAGCGTGGCCTCTTCTGCTTGTCTGCCTCTTTCTCCCTGACTGACTGACTGCTCGTTGTTCCTCCAGATTCACTCTGCTACCTCGGCTAAACTCGGGTGTTTTTCTCCGCCTTCGCCACCGGCTGTAGTGGAGAACATGCAGGAACTAGCAGAATAGTAAAGGAGTAACTTGTTGGTAGATAAGATAGATATACAGGAGAAAAACGACGTCACCTTGGGCGAGAACTAGATCTCTCTGTTGACTGCTTCATTGTATTAGGACTTCTATATCCACAACTAAACATCCAAGCATGCCTATTTCCAATATGATACTCCTAACCTCCCTCATCACTGTGCCTGCGCCTGGCTAGGAAGGTTTTCTATCTGCCGTACTAGGAAGCTCTTCTCGTCCGTGAACTGGTCATCGTCTGTCCGGTCTTCCAGAAACTTGGGAAGGAATTTCAGCAGTCTCTCTCGGTTGTTGATTAGAATCCGCTGGACTGCCACGCTTTTGTTTGGATTGGCCACAAATACCTAATGTCATATTAGCTAAAGGTCTGAATACCACTGATGATAGAAGATACATACTTTGAAGATGTGGAAACCCTCATATTGCACCATTTTGCGGTCGTCTCGAAGCAGGTTCATGCATAGTTTGAGGTGATCACCACTGTCCACGTACGCTGTCATGACATTGTAGTTGGCCCGATCAAGCAGCAGCTCGCCCAAAAGCTTAATACTCTGTCTCTTGGTTACGTATGAGTCAGACAGCACCAAAATGTTGTTGTATCTGCTGAAAAACAGGTCGAAGTTGGCACTTAGGTAGCCGGCCACCAGTGCCTTATGACGAGTCAAGATATCCTAACCGTGATGTTAGTTACCAGCATAATAACCATGGGAATATATAGAAAAACATACCCTAAACGTGGTAAACGCATCTGCGCTTACTTCAAAACTACTCTGGTTGATCCAGCCCAGAAAACTCCAGAACAGTCCCTCCCCGCTCTGCTTCTTTCCTGGCTGTATCTCGTTAAGTCGTATTGCTCTTTCGCCCTCTCCAGACTCATCGTACAAGATAATACCGGCCACCACCTCGTACTTTAGCGCTTCTCGTAGAATGGAGCCACATGGCATTGCGCTTTTGTTGTTTTCATACCCTCGACATAGCTGTGTCAGGATCTCGGGCCGCTTGTGGACGACGTACGAAATGACGGGCGGGTCACCAGATGTAGACGAGACAGAAGCAGCACCTCCACCGCCCGCGGAATTAGGTATAGTTGAAGACGCGGCCGATGTGTCAGGTCTGAAACGGAGGATATGCGAGAATATGGTCTGGGTGTCCTTGCGAGCTTCAAACGGTAGATTAGGGATAGATCGCGCAAGTTCGTAGAGAAGGTCTTCCTGTAATGATGCGTGGACAAGTTGCTGTACCTGGTCGGGTAATGTATCGACCTCTATTTTCCACCTGGTTAGCAGACATAGAGGCACAAATGAGTATTGAGTATGAGCGCATCCAGACCTTGTGTCCCCTGGACTATCAACTTCATGTGGCCCAGCTGCTTAGCTAGGTCTTCCTCAACCTGCCAGTCTTATTAGTATTTCATCTGAAGTAGTGTCTCTCTGGTACTTGAGGGGTTCACCTTTGCATCTCCTGGGACATCCCGCAGCTTGACCAGCAGGTCTTTGGTTGTCCTTGCAACCTCTGCGGGCTGCCGCTGTCTGCTCCTGTTAAATAGAAATGCCATCACTGGATAAAAAGATAGACCAGGTCTTCTCCTCTTTCTCTACTATTCCCAAGGTCCTGCTCATATAAGACGCGCTTTCAGATCAGGGGAGATAGTAGTGCCGCGCCGCAGTATAGTGCAATGCAATGGATAAAAGACAGATATCAGTGTAAAGGACAGCTTCCTAGTTCACAGTCATCATTGTCCACCTAGCTTCCCTTCTCCCTAATTCCCATCTGTGTATAAGCTGTGTTTTGGTGGTGAAGGGCAGCAGATGTTGATGTTGATGTCACTAGCTGAGGAGCTCTGTTACGTTAAATAGTTATCGATCGCAAGACTTTTTGCCCCACCCGCGCAGAAAATCATCCTATTTAGTTATCTCGATATTTTTTTTTTTTTCTCTTTTAACCTTGACAATAATACAAAAATTCAGACAAACACCTACGAGCTTCCAACTTAGGATAGCTACTGGCTACTTGCTAGCTCTGCTCGTTTAGCGACATTTTATCTTGTTCTATCTGCGACAATGAGTCCTCCACCTACGCACGATGACCGGGACAGCGACAGTGACGAATCGGCGCCTGAAGAGCCCCTCGATCTTACCCGCGATGACGGATGGGAAGACGTAGAGCCCGAAGAAGAGAGCGAACCCATTGTTGGCCTTTTCACAGACAAGATATACTCTGACACTCGTTCAATGCTGGAAGAAAGCAAGGAGAAGTTTGGGTTCGACTTTGTTCGCGTGCAACAACAGTTGGGTGTGTACCCAGCCGATCACTGTCTACGGTATCTACCCGGTTGCTAACCACTTCACATATAGGACTCAACTTCCTTGGGACTATCAGGCTGGTCAATTATATCCGCTCAGAGGTGAAGAACGGCAACACAAAGCCTGACGTCTCCAGCGCCGCCCTATTCGAAGATGAGAAATATCTCAAGCCTGTTCTGGAGGATGATGCGCTGCTATACAGCTTAGACGATATTTCAGACCTGACTGTTGGAGAACAACAAGAGGTAACAGGTAGACTGGGAAAAATAACTGATTCAGCACGGATAAAGGACCTTGAGAATGAGCTTAGTAACCTCCGCGGCGAATTTGCAGAGTATAAGCAGATGGTGCAGAAGGCCCTGAACCAATCCATAGAGGACGAGGGTGAGAGCAGCAATAACAAGGGAGATTCTTCAAGCTCGCGGTCTTTCCAGGAGGCAGAAAAGGGATACTTCACTTCATATGCCTATAACGGTGCGTAGACATAACACACATCGCTTAGTCTCACTGTTTGGACTAACGACAACAGCAATTCACGAGTCAATGATAAAGGACTCCATTCGGACAGATGCGTACCGTGATTTTATCTATGATAACAAGCACTTGTTCAAGGACAAGGTTGTTCTAGATGTTGGCTGTGGAACGGGTATCTTGTCAATGTTCTGCGCCAGAGCCGGCGCAAAGCAAGTGATTGCCGTTGATAACTCAGATATCATCAGCAAGGCACGAGAAATCGTATATGAAAATGGATTCGATAAAGTCATCACGTAAGTATCATCTACCACGGTCAACTTTTGATGGTCCATATCTAATGAAAATCATAGATGCCTGCGTGGTAAGATTGAAGAAGTCATCCTTCCCGTGAAGCATGTCGACATCATAGTCTCCGAGTGGATGGGCTACTGTCTCCTTTTTGAGGCTATGTTTGATTCTGTTCTCTGGGCTCGCGACCGTTACCTTGTCCCTGGCGGTCTCATGGTCCCTTCGCATGCAACCATTCGCATTGCGCCAGTTGCCTCAGCAGACATCGTCCAGGAGCACATCACCTTCTGGAAATCAATTTATGGCTTTAACATGACAAGCATGCTCGAAGGCGTACATGATGAAGCTATTGTGCGTAGTCTCCAGCCCGATATCATGGCTGCTGAATCAGAGCTCTTTTTTTACATGCCGCTTCAAACAATCACGGCCAAGGAGCTTGTATTCACCAAGGAATTTTCTGTCACACTCTCCCAGGATATTGACTCTCTAGACGGCTGGGCCGTATGGTTCGATATAATATTCATGCCTTCGGCTGATAGCAAATTGACTCCCGAAGAGGCCTTGCCAGAAATAATGAAGAAACGAGATATAGTAGCCTTCACAACTGGCCCCGATGGGAAACAAACGCATTGGCATCAGGGTCTCTTCCTCATCGACCAGAAGAAAAACCCTACTGCTGCAATGAAGAAGGGACAGGTAATTAGTGGCTCTATCGAGTACCAGAAGAAGGATGAGAAGTCACGCTTGTTAGATATCACCATTGGGTGGAACTCGGATGGCAAGTCTGGAAGCCAGAAGTGGTCTTTGACATAGTTCATATGAGGATAAAGAGCGATTAGAGCATTGGGCGGGTTACTTGATGGACGTCACCTCTGATCTATGGGTAATGGGTATAGAGAAAAGCGGATTAAATTATCAGGAGTTTATGGGTATCAATGGGGGTATAAAATAACGAGCTTGTTGTCTCAAGTGCCTGCGAATTGAGCACTGTATCTTTTTCCTGGAGCTTGACTCCAAGCAACAGACCCTTTCTCGGGTTTCGGCCCAGTTTTGGATTCATGTCTATCATTGCGCCTTTTCCGGTGTGTCTCGTCATGCCGTGACCTGTCCCTTCCGCTACCTCGATCTCGATCTCGATCTCGAGAACGGCTTCTATGGTGCCTTCTTTTCCTCCTTTCAGCCCCAGCATCTAGCCTGAAACTATCAAGGCTATCATCTGAATCACCATTACCCTGGTGCTTTCGTCTTCGCCGTTTCTCCTTATCCCTCTCTTCTCTTTTCAGAGCCTTGAGCTCTCTCTCCCTTTCCTCAGCCCACTTTGTTCTCTCCTTCTCCACCTCCTTTAGCTGCTTCACACCTTTCTTCATCGCCGCCAGCGGATCGTTCGTAGCTATCCTTATTTTTTCCCTCTCTTGTCTTCTGGGGTCTTCGTCTCCCCAAACGTTCTTATTAGGTAGCCCGGCGTTCTGTGTGGATATTTCCGTAGTTGAGGAGTACCATGGTGTAGAGGTCAGCTGCTGTTTATAACCCGCAGCATTGGAAAACCGCATCATATATTGGTCTTCAAGCTCTCGGTTCTTTTTTGAAGTTTCGGCTTCAGCTTCTGGGTTCTTGTCTGAACGGTGTCTTCGAGGCGTTGATTCCTCGGGAAACAAGCTGATGTGTCCTGACTTATCTACAATAGGAGCATCGTCAGTAGGCCGGCGAGATGCTTTAGATTCAACTCGCTGACGCGCCAGCTCAGCATCTTCTTTTGCGAATCGGATGTCACGATCGGTATCATTTTCTCCAGCCAGCCTTCTCCTTTTCCGGTGTCTCGACTCTACAGGAGGTTTCTCACGGGAGCGAGAATGGCGCTCTTTTTCATCCACAGCATCATTCAAGGGTAACGGTATCTTCCCACGTAAAATGTCTATCCTCCTCTCCGCATCTTCTTCCCGTTGCTTTCTTTCATTTTCCTCCTCCTCAGCCTTTGCGCGAGCTTCATCTCGGCGCACTCTTTCGATGTTGTCCTTGTTGTATACGTTCCATGACTTCTTCCCTAACAAATGTCTATAAATAACATTAAATAACATGTCAGCATGGACCCCAGCTTCATGCATATCAATAGTCCCACTTACAACGGCATCGTCCAGTGCTTTTTCTTGCTCTCCTATGATGTTTTCTTGACGTGCGGTCAAATAGCAAGGAAGGCCAAAAGTGACGACACTGCTGACTAAGCCAGACCAGCTCCTCCAGCGCATCGAAGTCGCCTGAAGGCAGCAAGCGAAACAACAAGACGACGAAGAGCAGACTTGACACATTTCAAGTCTGTTTTAGATTTTGAGGGACGCTATCTAGAATATATATACCGATACTATCCACGCAGATATCCCCTTGCTACCTCACGACTATACAATAAGCCGATTTGTTTACGCTAGCAAACCCCCGCAAAACGGTGGATAGCTAGCAGGAACCGCACGCAGCATGTTCAATCCGTTCGGATCAAGCAATCCACCTCGTGGTGATGCCCCTTATCCTCCTCGAGCACCTCAACAACAACGGGGTGGCTATGACGGCGGTTATGGACAGGATCCCCGAATGGGAGGTATGAGCGGAAGGTACGTTTTCGAGTATATACCCTTCTACGTGGCTGGATATACCGTTGTGGCTGACGGATATAAATGAGAATAGCAGCAGTTATGGGAGTTCGCCAATGGGTAGACCAGGTGAGAGACAGATGCCTCCTAGACCTACCGGAGGTCGAGGTGGCGAGGGGCAAACCTGGTCTTTGCGTCCTGCCAAAAGTCCGGATAATTCATACACCTATGGAAACCTGTACGTCTTGATATTCCCTAATCAATAGGTAACATGGGATGGAGTCTAACGGTAATTTGTTTTGTTATAGTGTTGCAGTTTCTCCCCGTGATATCCCTCGTTCCCGTGACGGCACCGATGTCCCAATTTTGGTCAATGGGCTATACGTGTTTTCTGCTCGTCCCATGGAGGGTTTCCCTCAGGGTCATATCAGTATGTCAGATCCACAGAGGACATGGGCGCAGGTTGCCTTGACCGACATGGTGCAGGTACAGCTGTACGATGCGTTCAGTCAAGGTAGCCAGGCCTACCTTGGGTCTATGGATATTGAAGTGAGCTTTGCTGGAAGAAAGAGAACAGAGGTCCCTTATGACCAAGATCAACTTGCTCAGACATTTATCAAGGTAGGTTTGAGAAGTACAATGATGTTTGTTCGTGGCTAGATATTCAGTGCTAATGCAGCGTAGAACTTTGAGGATCAGATTCTTGCACCTGGTCAGAAGATACTCATGGATGATAAGAGCATCCCTTTGCTATTGACAGTGAAAACGGTTCAGCTTGGTGATTTAACCACAGAGAAACCATCTTCCTCTGCACCAACCTCGTCAGATCCTCACTCCAGAGGCATTTTAACAGGCTATACATTAATCAACTTTTTCAAAGATGCAAAAACTGGAATCAATGTTAAAGCATCTAATCGACGACCAGCAGCAAATTCAATAGTCCAACCTGATTTCAAATTTGAGAACATGGGAATTGGCGGTTTGGACACAGAGTTTAGCACCATCTTCCGAAGAGCTTTTGCATCTCGTATCTTCCCGCCAGGACTTGTCGAGAAGCTTGGTATCCAGCACGTCAAAGGTATCTTGCTTTATGGACCTCCTGGAACAGGCAAAACTTTGATTGCAAGGCAAATTGGAAAAATGTTGAATGCCAGAGAACCTAAGGTTATCAACGGTCCCGAAGTGTTGAATAAATTTGTTGGCCAGTCCGAAGAGAACATTAGGAAACTCTTTGCCGATGCGGAGAAGGAGTATAGAGAGAAAGGTGACGAGAGCGGACTACACATTATCATTTTTGATGAATTGGATGCTGTTTGCAAACAGAGAGGCAGCGGTGCCGGTGGCGGAACGGGTGTTGGCGATAGTGTTGTCAACCAACTTCTATCAAAGCTCGACGGTGTTGACCAGCTAAACAATATCCTCCTTATAGGAATGACAAACCGAATGGACATGATTGATGATGCCCTACTGCGTCCGGGTCGACTAGAGGTCCATATGGAAATATCCCTCCCAGATGAACATGGCCGGGCTCAAATATTGAAAATCCATACCCAGAAAATGCGAGAGAACGACGTTATGGACCGAGACGTGGATCTCAAGGAGCTTGCAGCACTTACCAAGAACTTTTCAGGTGCCGAGATTAGCGGGTTGGTGAAGTCAGCTTCGTCCTTTGCCTTTAATCGACACGTTAAAGTGGGAACCATGGCCGGTATAAGTGATGATATTGTTAACATGAAGGTCAACCGAACAGACTTTCACAATGCGTTAGAAGAGGTAAAGCCCGCCTTTGGTGTTTCTGAAGAAGAGCTCGAGACTTGTATCCACGGAGGAATCCATCATTTCTCACGAGCGGTGGGTGAGATTCTGGAAGAGGGTAATCTCTTCGTCAAACAAGTCCGTGACCCAGAATCAACGACATCTCTTTTCTCAGTGCTTCTTCACGGGCCACCCGGCAGTGGAAAGACGGCTCTGGCTGCTAAGATTGCGATTGACTCGGGATTTCCCTTCGTCAAACTAATTAGCCCAGAAGATATGGTGGGCTATAGTGAGATGGCCAAAGTGCAGCACATGAATAAAGTGTTCACAGATGCCTACAAGAGTCCAACCAGCGTTGTTGTCATGGACAACATTGAGCGAATTATTGATTGGGTGCCTATCGGGCCACGATTCAGCAATTCCGTCCTCCAGGCTGTGATGGTGCTGCTCAGGAAACAACCTCCTAAAGGCCGTCGTCTGCTGGTCCTTGCAACCACGACTGAACGATCAATCCTGAAGCAACTTGATGTGTTCACTTCGTTCAATGCGGACATACCTGTACCAAACATCAACACCTACGAGGAATTAGCCTACATCTTGCAGCAGGAACAGACTCTGTCTTCTGACGAGATCAAGTCTGCTTTGTCACGGATTCGAGAATTGACACAGAGTGATAAGATTGGAGTCGGTGTGAAGAAGGTGCTGCTTGGTGTTGGCACTGCAAAGCAAGACACTGACAAGGCCACCCGGTTTGCGTCTGTTATCGCTCGAGCAATGGATGAGCAAAATTATGTATAGAGAGAGGTTAGCACTTGCTAAGATACTGGATTAAACCCTGGCCTTATATATCTGTTTGTTGTCCTTTTGCAGTGTAATTCTATATTCAATTCAAGTATGTCTCTGCTTGAAATGGGTCATATAAATACACTGCCTCCCTATATATCCCGCTGGACTATCTATTGCTTTATTAATAAGACAACTTGTGATATCCCCCTACTAATTTCTTACCTCAAAAATTGTCTCTTTACTGAGAAACCAGGCGCTTATAGACTGGATTATCCCAATATCCCTGTTGAAGCCCCTTAACAACACATCTCTGGCCTGCACGTGATGATTTCCTAAAAGGGAAGAGGACTGATGTGACAAATAAAACTTCGCTTAGGCAAATATCAACCGCACTCTTTGTTACTGCAGAGACGCTCTTCACAGCTCTCTTTTTCGGCTGAAGTCTTTTCATTCTATCTTTGATAACGCGTCTTATACAAGTAGAAGCCATCCTCCTCCTCCTCCCCCTATCTACAAAGCAAAGCGTGATATCAACAAGACTGGGCGTTGCCGACCATGGCTGCCAACGATAGCACCAACAACGTTGCAGGCACCAATGCTGCTACTGGGCCTGCTGCACCAGCTGTGCCAGCAGGATCTTCCACTCGATTCTATAGCAAACATGCTCAGAATAAGGGGCAGTATGGACGCCGCTGGGACTCCTCTGAGAGTAAGCTCGAGACCTCTGGCCCTCCTGGCGCTCTGAACTCCTTTCCTGGACCGCGTCCTGCAGCTCCTGCAGCTCCTCCAGCAGCCTCGAGACCAAACCCAGCCGCTCCCCCGTTTACGCCTGCTCCTAGAAAATGGGGCCCAAGCCCTGCAGCTGGAGCTCCAGGGTCCTCTTCTGCTGGCGTTGACACTGGAAAAGACTACAAGCGTAAGAACCGCAAGTTCAAGCCTAAAAAGGAGAAAAAGGATGGCACGCCAACCAATACGCCTGTGTCTGATGCCCCTGGTGGGCTCAAGGATACCACTAACCGCCGTCCTCAGAGACGCAATATGCCTGGAACTCGCAACCCAGGTATGAGACGTCGAAACGAAGAAGGTGGACGCTCTGCAGCCCCAGGAGCCAACCAAGATGAGCCGACGGTTGTCGAAGCCCCTGCACACGACAAGACTCCTGCTGTCCCTGCACAGGAAGACAATGCTGTCAAGGAACCGGTTGGTGCTGAGGAGCCCAAGGCTATGACGCCGCCCAAAGAGGAGGATGCCAAACCGGCCGAAGTTAACCAGGCATCCGATGCTCCTGTTTCCAAAGACGTTGAAGGTACGCATACCCCCTTTATTAGTTTTGGTGCAGGTCATCAACAACGATACTAATGCATGTCGACAGTGTCTCCCCCGAAAGACGCTGAGGATACACCCAAGCCCGCTTCTGAGCCTGCAGAGGAAAAAGCAGAGGAAGTTTCTCCTCTCACCAAATGGAACCCCATTTTCCCTCCAGGTGGCCCTAGTATGTTATAAACATTCCAAATCGTGTATCAGGTCCCATACTAACCATGGTTCTAGGACCAACTCCCGCCCCCAACGACGGAGCCTCCGGCGAGCAGCCTAGACGCACCAACTACGTCGACGCAAATGGCAATTACCATGCCCCCAATGGAACGATCATGAGCGCTGAGCTTCTCAAGCTGTTCGCTACCGGAAAGATCCGCAACTCGCTGGGCGATAAGGTGTACTTCATGCCGTCCTTCATTGAGAACCACCCCCCAGAGGGCCAGCAGCCCTATCCTCTTGCCGGTACTCCCTCGCGCATCTTCTATGATCCTAGAGAATTCAAGAAGGCCTCGCAGTGAGTGATAAGTGATATTTTCGTCGTGATGGTCTGGGTATACTTTAGTCGGAGAGGTACCGTTGGCTAGCTAAAACGAAATAGGAGACAGAACAGCTGACATGGGAAAAAAAAAAAAAAAAAGAATTGGAGACGAAAAAAGGTGCAAACAAAAATTCTCAGTCGCAGTAACTACTGTGATGTATGTACATCTGAAACAAGAAGGGGAAAAGAGGAGGTGAAAAAAATAAGGATGTTAGGTAGAAAAAAAAAAAAAAGGAGAGGTAGCATGCAAGCAGAGCAGCTCAATAAAAGAAGTGATATCTCTCCAGGCCAGGGGGCGTACACCACCTACACCCACACCCACCACACCACACCAGAGCAGCCAACAGACATAATAGGTACTTTCAAAGGTAGCAAGCAGCAATAGAGTAGACGTTAACAGGCAGGCAGGGCCTATTTTATAGTTATCTTATGTGCGATGTTACACCTCAGCAAGATCCGACCCGAGGATATATACACCCACCCACACCCACAAACAACACCATCCACGGGACCCCGTCGGAAAAGGTATTATTCGTATTACAGGGCATAAAAAGAGCATAAACTAGTATAATAGCCTCTCTCACGGGGCCAGCTACGGCAGACGTATCAGTATCACGCTTACTGTTACTGTGGGAGGATCAAATAGGTCACTTGCCGGTTCTACGCCACACAGCTGAGCAAGCAGCACCCGAGGGGACCATATACGGCGGATCAGTAGTACTACGGCATACAGGCGTACATAAATTACAAGTCTAGAAGGGATCCATGGGCCCGGCACGCGCTAATAAGGGCCGTTGATAGGTGGAATCGTCTTTGAAGAGTTCCCGATATGCAGGTTCCCTTGCGCCCCTCCCCCCTGGTCCAGCACCCTGAACGTAAGGGGGGGCAGGCAGGGGGTGCAGCGGTACGCTTGGTCCCGCTAGCTGCAGCGGGGCGGGGAGCGGAAACCCCGGGCGGAAAGGGCTGACGGCGGGACGCTACATGCCAGGGGTGTGGGCGGGAGATTGGAGGGCGGTTTGCGGGGATGTGCTGGCTGGCCCAGACATTGTGCGGTGGATTTTCTGTTTCTGGCGGGCAGTATCGAGCTGGTTGTGGCATAGTAGCTTGGTATCGTCGTCGCTGGGTCAGCGCTGGTGGTGGTGTTGCGGGAAATGTGATGTATCAGACGGAGTGTGCGAAAAAAGGGGGGGGGGGGGGGGGTAAGCAGGTATAAATCGGTCGAATTCTGATCACACCAATTTTGTATGAACATAAAAAAAGCCATTAACAGCAGAATATATCCTCCCACTCTGTACCCGTGAATAAAAAAGATGACAAAATATTAAAATAGATCAGCGTGGGGGGGAAGAGGGGCTGAGACATCCATAACCCGGGGTCAAAAAAAAAAGCAGCGCAAAAATCCAGCCAAACGGAACATTCTGCCTCCCAATTGTTTTTTTTTTTTAGAAGCAGAGAAAAACCGAAGAAAAAGCAAGGAAACCGGTACTCCTTTGCCTGGGGGAATTCATCAAAAAAAGAAAAGAAAGTCGTTAGCTTTGCAGGGTCGTTAAAAGTGGACGGGATATCGATATCCAGGGGGTGAAGATTAGTAGTCCTCAGGATAAGCGTATTTGCTTGATGCAGAGCGGTATTCCTTTGGAAGCGCCGATTCGGCCTTTGCCTTCATGGCACTGTAGATTCACGTATTAGCAGGAAATTCCAATCCCTGGTATAAGGGTGGTTTTGCGAAGGGAAAAAAAAAAAAAGCGGCCACCTGCAAAATTGCCAAGGACGGCGGGGCGGAGAAAACAGAGCAGGGGCGGAGCGGGGCGGAAACCGACATGGTTACCAGGAATGGCAGTGTGTAGAGGGGTGTAAAAGCAGCAGAAAAGGGGGCTGAAGCGGGTGCAGAGGCCGAAAAAGAGCGGCTGCAGGGAGGAAACTCACCCGACCCGTTTTTGGGTCCACTCGAGGTCGGCCTTGGTCTCCTTTGCGGCCTTGATGCCCTCTGCGAAGTTTGCTCTGGCGCCCTTGACGCGGCGTTGCATGAGCGCCTGGAGTTCGAGGAGCTCGCGCTGTTTAGCGTTGAGCTGGCCGGAGCTGCAGAGAGTCAGAACACGATCATGAAACAAGCACTCGCTAGTAAGAATGCTAGGAAAGAAAAGAAAGAAAAGAACAGAAGGGGCTAAAAGAAAAAGGGGGACGAAGAGACGTACAGCTGGGTCTGCTTAGCGATGCCCTGGTCGAGACGGGAGGGATCAAAGACGTTACTCATGCGGTCGTTGAGAGTGTCGATAACGTCGACGCCCGAGTAGCCGGCCGAGGAGTCGTATTCGCCGCTGGCGCTGCCGGTGGTGGTGCTGACATCTGAAACCTCAGGGGGAGAGCCGGCAATGCGGGAGACGGGGTAGTAGCTGGCGCTCTGGGGGGCCTTGGACGGCATGTTGATGGGAAAGGAGGCATTGTGGGCTCGCATGGCAGTCTCCATTGTGACAGCAGTGTTTTGATGGCGAGGACAGTAAGGATGCAGAGGCAGGAGGGTATAGCTACTGGGTATCAGGGGCAGCAGTGTATGCAATGCAAGGCTACTGTGCTAGTATGAAGACGTAGGAGTATGTATGTAGCGGGACAGGAGGCAAGACGGCAGTCAATGCTAGGCAGGGCAATGCAGACGGGCAAGACGATGGTCGAGAAAATAAGGAAGAAGGAGGAGGAGGACCAGACGAGGACGAGGAGGCCCCTTTTATACCCCTCGAGGCCCTCCTGGCCTGCCCGAAGGGGGATAGTCCCGCTGGCTCCCTCTCCCCGGCTGCGCTGCGACTCCCGCTGGCGCCCCCTTCTGCCCTTGCGGCCCTTCGTCTCGTCCCTTCGTCGTCATCGGAGGAACAAGGGAGAAGACGAGGGAGCAACGGAAAAAGAAAAGAAACGAGAAAAAAGTACAGCGCCCCCCTTTTCCCTGTGGTCGACCCCCCCTTCCCCCCCCCCCGGCCCGTCCGTCTCCAGCGTCCCAGTCCTGATCCCTTCCCGATCCCTTCACCCCCTTCTCGCCCGCTGCCTCTGGCCTCCCTGCCTCCGTCCGCCGATTCGCTGCTGGCGCTGGCTGAACCCCGCCTCGCCCCCCGCGGAGGCCATGCCCAGCTGCTCGCGGATTCGCCAGAGACAGGCGCTAGAGCTGGGGGGGGTTGCAAAAGTCGAGTTGAGGAACTGGCAGCACACACGGTAACAAAAGTGTAAAAACGGGATGCGAATTGACGGCGAGCAGCGAGGCCTGGGCTGGGATCCGGCGGCGAGCGGCCAGAGAGCCAGTCCCCCTGCAGTCCTCTCAGCGGCCGGCGACACCCTCCATCAGTGCTGCGGATCGGTCGTTCATCGGGCGTTGGCCGTTGGGCGTAGGGTTTGGTCCTCGTCTGTCTCGTCTGTTTAGTCAAGTAACTTGGGCGCAGGCAGACCAGAGACGAGGATGCGGTCGATCGATCGATGGTTCCTTTTTCTTAGCTGCTAGTTAGTTAGCTCGTTAGCTAGACAGTTATAATACTAGCCAACTAGTTATTGGAACTTCCAGTTAATATTATCAAGTGGTCAGTTATTATGATGTAGTTAGTTAGATGTGACTGTATTCAAAGGCCGTTGATTTGATACTGCGGCCTTTTTTCCTTCGGGCGGCGGCAGAGGTCGATATATAAAGGACACAGCAGAGGCAGCAGGCAGCCAGTCAAGGCCGTCAGGTAGTCAACTAGCCAGAGAACTAGGTAAACTGGGTCAATCGTCGGGGGGACAGGCGGCAGTGACCTGATATATCAAAGTGCTACGAAGCTGTCAAGGGCCCTCACCTTCACGTCTCAACGGTCTGGCGGGCTGCATGGAACTAGCTGCCAGTTGCATCTGTCATTGGCTGCCATTGAAACGGGACGAGCTGCTGCTGCCTGACCGTCGCTGCTCGCATTGAAACTTGCGGCCAGACGAGCAGACCAAGTCGAAGAAGTCGAGGAAGTCGAGGAAGTAGACGGAGTGGACGATGAAGACGATGAAGACGAAGACGAGAAGTCCAGATTCAAAGGAACCAGGGTCATCCTCTCTCATCTTAACAGCAGGCCGTAGTTAACCAAGCCGCCGTCTAGTCAAGATAACCATCACTGATGTAACTAAGTCAGTTATCTGGGAGTTGGTCCGACGGCGGTTATAGTTATCGATGTCAAGGTTGACCCAGGCGAAGGCCATCCTGCACTGGAGATTAGCTAGTTAGTTAACTTAGCAAAGCAGACGGACTCGTTTCAGGGAGTTGAAGTAACCAGCGAGCCGCTTGTCTGGTGGAAATTAACTAGTTAACTATCTGGCTGGAGTCGATCATGGTGGCCAGGAACCCCTAACTAGACTCAGAGACAAAAGTAATCGAGTATAAACGACCGATTTTGTATCCTGCCCCTCGAGGAGACACTCAATTCCACAGTATATATATCCAGGACGTCGATGCTATGCATATGCATGTGCGCAGGAGGGATACCAGCTAATACCCCGATACAGGGGTCGAAAAGGAAGCAAAGAATCAGGGGGTAGTCAAGGCTATAGAGAGAGAGAAGCCCCAGAGACGGAGTAATCGATCATATACAGAGTTGTCAAGCAGAGAGATATACAGGAGAGCAAGAAGAAGTCATACAGAAGGTCCTTGGAAGTAATACTAGCTAATAGTCGTCATAATTTAGTCCCGATATTTCTCTTCTACTCCATTTTGCGTCCATGATTTTGAACAGGAGAATAATAACAGTAAAAAAGATATGAAGGAAAGCGAGAATATAAAAACAAGAAAACAGCACAAGGAGATAAGG